ACAGCCCTTTAGGCTTCTTCGCTCACACACTTTAGCTAGTATGCATACAGCCCTACTCTTCATGGCTGCCAGCCTTCTGCCCCACACTGGGTTGAACTCAGTCACTGGCCCCTCTCTGGGTCACTCTCTGTCCCCTCCCTGAGGCTTCTCTCTCTGCTCCCTTGCTGGGGTCAGCAGGGTCTTATACCACCATGGCTCCTCATTGGGCTTTTCCTGAGCCCTCCTCTCTTCAGGCTACAGACACTTAGCCTGTGGACCTCCCCCCCACTAGTTACTCTCTAAATTAAATTACCCACTGGATAGTAGGAGCTGGGGTTATAAGGTGCCCCTTCCCACCTTTAACTGGGGAGGCAACTGGTCTGGCATTTCTGGGGAAGTACCCCACCACAGGCAGTCCCACCAGGCCATCCTTCCCCAGGAGGATGCAGTTTTAGGTCTTACCCAGGACTGGGAGCCTCCTACCATCACCATAGCTCCTGCCCTTACCTGCCTTACCTCCAAGATGTTCCTGAACTGCTGCTCAGCTGGGTGGTGTCTTTCCGGCTGCCAGTAGCAGACTACTGGCTCAGCCCTGAGGGCCTGGATCTAAAATGCTCAGCTACCTCCTCCAATCCCAATCAGTGATCACCTCATTAGGGCTAGCCCACGCTTGCAGGCTGCCCTGCTACCTGCTTTCAAGCCTTAAAGTGGCAGGCACCAAAGGTGCTCTGCCACAGGGGGTTTAACCAGGGCGTTTAACTGGTTTAACCCTGGCTCCAGACTCCAGCTGGGGTATGCCTGGTGGGGGACAGTTCCTGCCTCCCCACTCAACCCTTCTCTGCTGGAGCAGACAGCACAGCTCAGCACAGCCCAGGGCTGTAGAGCATGCTGCGTGACTCTGATTTAACTTAAACCCAGAAGCGGTCTGGAACAGAAGTTTCATAAACTGGTTTAACCCAAATCACTTAAGTCTGATACTATATTCAACCAGGTTTATCTTAAACCAGTTTCAGACATTTTTAAATTGGTTTCTGTGCACTGAGCTTCTTTTCTGTTAGAGGTTAAACCAGTTTCTGATGACTTAAATTGGTTTATGTGCAACTTCTTTCCCTAGCCTAGCCTAGAAGGTCTGACTGTCTGTGGCTCATGTCTCAGCTCTGCAGCAGGAAACCTGGAAGTTGGGGTCCTTGCTGTGGAGATGAAAACCCAGTCCTTTCAAATTATAAGAAGTAACAATAAAAGAACAAATACACTCAGGTAGTATTCAAATAAGGGATTGTCTAAATATAAAAGTTGTGGGGATGGGGGAGTCAGTTATTCCAGTAAAAAGGTGCTTATACTGGTACAGCTATTCCCATATGAGAATAAAATGTATCAGCACGATATAAATATGCATGTCTACTGTATAATATGTCAGTATAGCTATGACTAGATAATCACATCCATGGAAATAGTGTTGGTACAATAACTGTGTGTAGACCCAGGCTTCAGTGACAACAGCTCATTGCTCATTTCTATGGTTAGAATATTAATAATGATAAAGTCCTGTGAAACTAATGTGAAACGTGAACGTAATTCTGAAGGGCATCCATTTTAAAATGAATGATATTTTTCAATAGTATGACTAACTTCATTGCCTGTACTGTGTGCAGCAATGGTGAGATCCACTTTAGCCTTGACTCATCAAACTACTCAAGCAGGCACTGACAGATGTCTTTGGTGGAACAACATGCAGAAAAATAAAATTAATCACATACTTACATGTTTTGCTGGATCCAGGGCTTCTGTGAAAAGTGGACAATGAATCTGGAAACTTTCAGGGAACTTTATAAACATTTTAGCTAGTTTTTCCATGTTATTCTGAAATACACTATAAAAATCCAGTGTCATTATTTGCATTTTGCTGTTGGGAAGAATCAAATATGGAAAAAGAACTGAATGTCCAATCATTATTTATACATGTTTATCATGTCTCCTCTTATTCTTTATTAAGGTAATTAATCTGATACTTTTTAATTATTCTTCATATGAAAAGTTTTCTATGCCTTTAATCATACCTGTATCCCTGCTCAAAATCCCCTTCAATTTTGTACTATGCTTTTGTGATGGTGTGACCAGTATTGTACGTAGATAGGTGTACTAATAATTCAGATAATGATATTATATTTTTTCCCTGCATTATTCTTCATTCTGCTCCTTGTGTATTCTAATTATCTTTGTTTATGAACACAGATACATTTACACAAAGGTCTTTTTTGAGCTGTCCGTAATGGTATCTGGAACCATTACCTGAAATTCATACAGCTACAACTCTTTAAAGTATGTAAGTAATTCAGCATTTCCCCTCTGACAAGCAAGGGAGGTCTGTAACCTTGGAAATCATAGCTTATAGGGAAGGCGCTAGGTGGAAAGGCAGCAGAAAGTGGACAGCAGTAAAGGCATCTATTGTTCTTTGATAGGACCCTAAAGGCTGTTGCTTTCCCCAACTGGCACAGACTGGCTTTTCTAAGCCCTGCTGCTGCTCATCACATATACTGCCTCTCTGTATGACCTGTGCTTCAGTGAGTGAAAGAAAATCTTCTGAGCTTTCTCCACCCCATGCGGAAGGTATATGGGATTGACTGTGACATCACACTGGTGAGTCACTTTATTGACTGCTGTGGTATTCCTCTCAATTTACATTGCTGTAAGCAAGAGCAGAAAAGATCTCATGTTTTGTGGTTTAATTCCATTTGCTTGGTCTATATTTTAATTTCATAACTAAAGGGAAAAAACAGATAAAGGTGAATGCATCCAGAATACTATAAAGCTGAAACTTTATACTGAATTAACCTTATTGCACCAATGGCAGTTATTAGGATCTGTCTTCTGATGTGAATGATGTAGTAAATTCTATGCATTGCTGCAGCTGAGAAAAACTGCAGAATAGTCAAATAGCTATTTGATACTGCTCCTTCTCCTGTATCCAGAGTCACTTTTTTGCTCTGCTTTGTTAAAGACAGTAGTACAGACCAAAGCAAGTTTAAATATAGAACATACAAGGTCTGAAGCAAACCCCACTCCAATCAATGAAAAGACTTCAATGGATTTTACTGGCCTTTAGATCAAGCCATTAATGCTTAAAGAATTTAGGCCATAAAATTAACATTCAGTAAGAGGAGGAAATGGTGCTGATTCTGCATCTTTTTCAAGCAGAATGACCAGAGCCATCACTCTATATTCTGCAGACACAACAGTCTGTGGGTTTGCAACATCCCACTGGCAAGTGTTACAGAGAATGAAAATAGCAGTCTTGACAGTAAACACTGGACAGCATTTTTCAGAACTCACGCAGACAGAGTATTCTGGGAAATGAGAAGCATTGCTAACTGGAGTAAGAGAAACCATTATGGTAAACTATAAAACATTTTAAGCATTTACTTTTAAAGGAAAATGTAATATTTATAACATTATAAATATGTAGAATACATTGTCGTGACATTGTATTGCACCTTTTCACTTGTATACAGTGTTTAGAGCTGAAGTAATTAATACAACAGTAGGTTGAGGGTGGTCATGCAAGAATACAATCCTGCAGCCTCAAAGCTAGGCAATATTTGGCACTTGACAATTGTCTGCCTCCTCAGTCATGGTCAGACCCAATTTATTAAGGGTGAATTAAGTCAGTAGGGTTATACAGAGCACTGGCCAATCCATTAATCAGCGTAATGGGGTTTCTTTGAAGGGAGGACTGAATTTCAGGATTGATTTGACTACGCTATGATAACTTTGTGGTTTTCACTAGGATAAGTGATGCTTATTAAATCTGGGAAGAGGCAGAGACATACTCTTCAGGAAATGTAGTGGCAATTACTACTTGGAAAGATGTGAGAGAGTGAGAAAAGTAGAAATGAGGCAATGATTCATGTGGTTAATTACCACTCAACATATGACACGGATAAAATTTGCGGGGAAACAGCCGGGTGTCCATTTGAATCCAGCTTTACTCTGGAATCTTGATTCTTGACAGCTTTTGTCTTAGGTACAAAGCAACTGGCACCTTAGGTGTTCAACTGTATATTGGGGAAGTGGAGAAAATTACTCAGCTCCACTGGACTACAGTGTTGAGCCTGCTCAGATTTCACAATACACTCTTTCTGGTCATTCTCTGGTGACATGGAGGGGTGGTCTCTATTAAAGCTGATGGGTTCAAGAGGAAAGATTTAGACAAAGCTTTGGAAATTAGGGACCATACATGTCTGAACAAAAAGGGAAGAAACTGTTAAGTATCTAGGAACCTGGATAGGTGTGGTGATCAGGAGACTGCCAAATTAATTGCTGGTACCTTCCCATGGTAGGTGTTCAGAAAAAGTACTTGTTCCATAGTGTATCTGTTCCATAATGTAATAAACTAGAATTGGAAATGGACTTCAGGGAACTTACCACCTAAAGAAATTGGGACACAGTGTTGGGGCCCTAATGTCTGGTACTCTTGGAGAAAACCCCTTTTTTTCTAGTCCCTAAACCCTTGTAAGAAGGTAAGGCAGGTATGTCATAGAAAGAGACTGGGGATTGACTGGACAAGTTAGATGAGATGCAAATCATTAGAGAATAAATTTTAATCTGCATTATATGAGTTATTGCTGGATAACTCTCAGATGAGTCAAGTTAACAACCTAATACAACCTAATAAAACCTAATAAAATCACATTCCTTGCACCCTATCTTTCTTCCTGTCTGTCTGGAACAATTTTTCCTTCTTTTCTTATGTACACGTCCTTGTGTGGTTATAATTGCAGGCACAGTTAACGAAAATATAAAAATCTTAATTTTTCAATGAGTTTGATGCTAATACATTTTTGCCTGGGGTCATTGGTTTTTCAATTAGTTCCCTTCTGTATACTTTTCCTTTCTTCTTTTATTATGATTTCTCCCAGTTTGTTTTCCTGTTTGCTTGAGTTTTTCATTTTTTTTAGGGTTTTTTTTTTATTAAGCTTTTGCCCCTTTTCTATTACTATAAAATGGACTATTCACTTTTCCACATCGTTGCCCTCTGCAATCAGGTATTTTTTTTTACTGATGTGGGGTGTACATTGCTATTTCACATTTTTTGTCACTTTACTCCCACCCTGGTAAATGGGTTGTAAAGAGCTATCATTTTCATTTCATATTCCAGGAATGAATTGACAAAGACAACTTTTTTACAACCCAGATGCTTGGAAGTAGGGTGACAAGAATAGCATTGTGCAACCCATACATACCAAGGCAGTATTTTTCACTACAAGAAAACTCTTCAATGTTTATGAAGAAAGGTATTGTTTGATGCTTTCAAAGAGCAAGACTTAACTTGTTAAACCTACGTCTTGGGTGAATAAAGCTTTTCAGATTAAAATTATATGTCTCAGAATGACTTTGCAATTGACTAACACTTGGAAAATGTGCAGTTTTCTACTAAATATACTGGTGACATATGACAAGGTGACTGGCTCTGTGGATGCAGGGAGACCAGTGGATGTGGTATATCTTGATTTTAGCAAGGCTTCTGATATGATCTCCCACAGCATTCTCTCAGGCAAGCAAAGAAAGTATTGCCTGGATAAATGGATTGTAAGGTTGATAGAAAACTGGCTGAAGCATCGGGCTCAGAGAGTAGTAGTCAATGACTCGATGTCTAGTTGGCGGCCAGTGTCAAGTGTGGTGCCCCAGGAGTTGCTCTTGAGGCCAGTTTTTTTAATGTCTTCATCAATGACTTGGAAGATGCCATAGAGTTCACCCTTAGCAAGTTTGCAGGTAAGTTTGCACCAAGCTGGGGGGAGTAGTATATATGTGGGAGGGCAGGGCTAGGATTCAGAGCGATTTAGACCAGTTGGAGGATTGGGCCAAAACGAATCATATTCCACAAGGACAAGTGCAAAGTCCTACACTTAGGACAGAACAACCCCATGCACCAGGACAGGCTGGGGGCTGACTGGCTGGGAAGCAGCTCTCCAGAAGAGGACTTGGGGGTTACAGTAGACAATAAGCTGAATATGAACCAGCAGTGTACCCTTGTTGCCTGGAAGACTAACGGCAACCTGGACTGCATTGGTAGGTGTGTTAATTCCTTGTTATAATATCAACACTGTCTAGCACATAGTGTGCCTGTAGCCTGATTCTACGATTCTCTGACATAAGCCAAAGGGCCAGTTGCAGATCAGCACATCACAAAATACTAAGGGCCTTGAATGCAATGTTTAAAAGGTTGTACATTTCTGAAATGCAGTCTTCTAAAAGGATTATAATGGGCTCACTAGTATTCTGACTTTCAAGTATGTTAAGTCAACTGAGAGAAATATGCTACAGATATATTGCAGGCAATGCACAAACATGGCTACGGGCACACTGTGTGCTAGACAGTGTTGATATTATAACGAGGAATTAAAAGGTTTGCCATTAATAGTAGTAATAAATATATTCTTGCTGAAAACGTTTTCTCATTCAATAATATAATATTTGTAGAATATATTGCAAACATTTTTGGCTTTGGGAGGCAACATGACCTTGTCATTACTGTGTGTTCCTCACATTTATTCCATAGGAAAAAGGTACTTCTCTTTTGGTTCAGTAGCAGTTACTTATGACTATATTTCTTTCTGACAAATAAAGCTGAAATGGTAAAAGAAACCTTTTACCTATGGGCACCTCATTCTTATTAATTTCTACTATTTTTTGTCAGCACCAGAAAATATGTTGTCACAAATGTCACCAAAAATAAATTCATGTGGAAGGTATTTAATTTCACCCTGCCATATACTGCTGACTCCATGTGTGTCCTTCATCAATCAGCACAGGAGTCAAAATTTAAGAATTATAAAGCAGTAGAAAACCAGTCTGATTTCTGA